TTTCCACACTACGAATTCTCTGCATAATATTTACACCACACACTGCCCTTAGACATGACGTCTCCACTGCCTCCAGCCACCTCCTTGCTGCAACATTTACAACCCAAGCTTCACACCCATACAAGAGTGTTGGTACCACTATACTTTTGTACATTCCCTTCTTTGCCTCTATGAATAACGTTTTTTTGTCTCCACAGATACCTCAAAGCACCACTCACCTTTTTTCCTTCATCAATTCTATGGTTAACCTCATCCTTCATAAACCCATCCTCTGACAAGTCAACTCCCAAATATCTGAAAACATTCACTTCTTCCATACTCCCTCTCTCCAGAGTGATATCTAATTTTTCTTTATCTAAATAGTTTGATACCCTCATGACCTTACTCTTATCTATGTTCATTTTTAACTTTCTACCTTTATACACTCTCCTTAAAAGCAATGTCATCACCAAAAGCAGCAGTGATAACTCCCACTGAATATCAGATTCATTATCTTTTAGGCCACACTTCTCCCTAACAATCTAGCATTCACTTCATTCACAACACCATCTATAAGGATGATAAACAACCATGATAATGTCTCACATTTCTATTTTTCTTTCTTTCCTGTACACCTTAACCTGCTGAAGAGGACCCCAGAAAGGGTGTCAAAATATACAGGTCAATTAATCTCCTGAGTTTCTGTCTCCATGTGGGTTATTATTGAGCAGTGACAAGTGTTCATTATATGTACTTCAGGTATTTACCCTATAAAAACATTTTATACTGTTCAGCGGATGGGTCTATGAAAGATGAGGTGAATCATAGAATTGATGAGGGAAAAAGAGTGAGTGGTGCACTTAGGAGTCTGTGGAGACAAAGAACTTTGTCCTTGGAGGCAAAGAGGGGAATGTATGAGAGTATAGTTTTACCAACGCTCTTATATGGGTGTGAAGCGTGGGTGATGAATGTTGCAGCGAGGAGAAGGCTGGAGGCAGTGGAGATGTCATGTCTGAGGGCAATGTGTGGTGTGAATATAATGCAGAGAATTAGTAGTTTGGAAGTTAGGAGGAGGTGCGGGATTACCAAAACTGTTGTCCAGAGGGCTGAGGAAGGGTTGTTGAGGTGGTTCGGACATGTAGAGAGAATGGAGCGAAACAGAATGACTTCAGAGGTGTATCAGTCTGTAGTGGAAGGAAGGCGGGGTAGGGGTCGGCCTAGGAAGGGTTGGAGGGAGGGGGTAAAGGAGGTTTTGTGTGCGAGGGGCTTGGACTTCCAGCAGGCATGCGTGAGCGTGTTTGATAGGAGTGAATGGAGACAAATGGTTTTTAATACTTGATGTGCTGTTGGAGTGTTGAGCAAAGTAACATTTATGAAGGGATTCAGGGAAACCGGCAGGCCGGACTTGAGTTCTGGAGATGGGAAGTACAGTGCCTGCACTCTGAAGGAGGGGTGTTAATGTTGCAGTTTAAAAACTGTAGTGTAAAGCACCCTTCTGGCAAGACAGTGATGGAGTGAATGATGGTGAAAGTTTTTCTTTTTCGGGCCACCCTGCCTTGGTGGGAATCGGCCGGTGTGATAATAAAAAAAAAAAAAAAATTATTATTTTTGTATTATTATCACACTGGCCGATTCCCACCAAGGCAGGGTGGCCCGAAAAAGAAAAACTTTCACCATCATTCACTCTATCACTGTCTTGCCAGAAGGGTGCTCTACACTACAGTTTTTAAACTGCAACATTAACACCCCTCCTTCAGAGTGCAGGCACTGTACTAATAATAATAATAATAATAATAATAATAATAATAATAATAATAATAATATTTTATTTCAGCATGATAAACGTTTGTACAAAGGAATATAATGCTTGGGTGTACATGCCAAAAGGCCCTTTATATGCAAAGCATTTTGGGCAAACTTAAAACTAACTTGAAATTAATAAGGCAATAACAGTACATATAATCATTAGGTGAGTTACAATGAATACAAGATAACTGAATATTCTATTAAGTCATGCTATATGTCTTTGATAAGTTTTGTAGGGAAGAATTACAATTTTGATTATTAACCTTAGGTGGACACAATGGAGTGATTAACATTGGAGGTGAATACAGATATTGAGAGTAAGTATATACTGATTATAAAGTTTTACGTACCTATGTTCATGATATTGAGCAAATTCATGAATAGTTTTTACATTATGTATTTATGATGGGCTGGGATAGGTTAAAGAGATAAGGTGTTTTTTAATTGTAGTTTTAAAAATAACCTTTTACACATACATAAATACAACAAATATATATGTAACATATTTATAATTTTGTTGAAAATAAGAAAAAGTTTTGGAGTGAGATTAACAAGTTAAGGAAGCCTAAAGAAAAAATGGATTTGTCAGTTAAAAATAGGAGAGGAGAGTTATTAAATGGAGAGTTAGAGGTATTGGGAAGATGGAGGGAATATTTCGAGGAATTGTTAAACGTTGATGAAGATAGGGAAGCTGTGATTTCGTGTATATGGCAAGGAGGAATAACATCTTGTAGGTGTGAGGAAGAGCCAGTTGTGAGCGTGGGGGAAGTTCGTGAGGCAGTAGGTAAAATGAAAGGGGGTAAGGCAGCCAGGATTGATGGGATAAAGATAGAAATGTTAAAAGCAGGTGGGGATGTAGTTTTGGAGTGGTTGGTGCAATTATTTAATAAATGTATGGAAGAGGGTAAGGTACCTAGGGATTGGCAGAGAGCATGCATAGTTCCTTTGTATAAAGGCAAAGGGGACAAAAGAGAGTGCAGAAATTATAGGGGAATAAGTCTGGAGGCAGTGGAGATGTCATGTCTGAGGGCAATGTGTGGTGTGAATATAATGCAGAGAATTCGTAGTTTGGAAGTTAGGAGGAGGTGCGGGATTACCAAAACTGTTGTCCAGAGAGCTGAGGAAGGGTTGTTGAGGTGGTTCGGACATGTAGAGAGAATGGAGCGAAACAGAATGACTTCAAGAGTGTATCAGTCTGTAGTGGAAGGAAGGCGGGGTAGGGGTCGGCCTAAGAAAGGTTGGAGGGAGAGCGTAAAGGAGGTTTTGTGTGCGAGGGGCTTGGACTTCCAGCAGGCACGCATGAGTGTGTTTGATAGGAGTGAATGGAGACAAATGGTTTTTAATACTTGACGTGCTGTTGGAGTGTGAGCAAAGTAACATTTATGAAGGGATTCAGGGAAACCGGCAGGCCGGACTTGAGTCCTGGAGATGGGAAGTACAGTGCCTGCACTCTGAAGGAGGGGTGTTAATGTTGCAGTTTAAAAACTGTAGTGTAAAGCACCCTTCTGGCAAGACAGTGATGGAGTGAATGATGGTGAAAGTTTTTCTTTTTCGGGCCACCCTGCCTTGGTGGGAATCGGCCAGTGTGATAATAAAAAATAAAAAAAAAGTCTGTTGAGTATACCTGGTAAAGTGTATGGTAGAGTTATTATTGAAAGAATTAAGAGTAAGACGGAGAATAGGATAGCAGATGAACAAGGAGGCTTTAGGAAAGGTAGGGGGTTGTGTGGACCAGGTGTTTACAGTGAAACACATAAGTGTTTCACTAAAGAGGTCTTTGTGGCATTTATGGATTTGGAAAAGGCGTATGACAGGGTGGATAGGGGGGCAATGTGGCAGATGTTGCAGGTGTATGGTGAAGGAGGTAGGTTACTGAAAGCAGTGAAGAGTTTTTACGAGGATAGTGAGGCTCAAGTTAGAGTATGTAGGAAAGAGGGAAATTATTTCCCAGTAAAAGTAGGCCTCAGACAAGGATGTGTGGTGTCACCGTGGTTGTTTAATATATTTATAGATGGGGTTGTAAGAGAAGTAAATGCGAGGGTATTGGCAAGAGGCGTGGAGTTAAAAGATAAAGAATCACACATAAAGTGGGAGTTGTCACAGTTGCTCTTTGCTGATGACACTGTGCTCTTGGGAGATTCTGAAGAGAAGTTGCAGAGATTGGTGGATGAATTTGGTAGGGTATGCAAAAGAAGAAAATTAAAAGTGAATACAGGAAAGAGTAAGGTTATGAGGATAACAAAAAGATTAGGGGATGAAAGATTGGATATCAGATTGGAGGGAGAGAAGAGTATGGAGGAGGTGAATGTATTCAGATATTTGGGAGTGGACGTGTCAGCGGATGGGTCTATGAAAGATGAGGTAAATCATAGAATTGATGAGGGGAAAAGGGTGAGTGGTGCACTTAGGAGTCTGTGGAGACAAAGAACTTTGTCCTTGGAGGCAAAGAGGGAAATGTATGAGAGTATAGTTTTACCAACGCTCTTATATGGGTGTGAAGCATGGGTGATGAATGTTGCAGCGAGGAGAAGGCTGGAGGCAGTGGAGATGTCATGTCTGAGGGCAATGTGTGGTGTGAATATAATGCAGAGAATTCGTAGTTTGGAAGTTAGGAGGAGGTGCGGGATTACCAAACCTGTTGTCCAGAGGGCTGAGGAAGGGTTGTTGAGGTGGTTCGGACATGTAGAGAGAATGGAGCGAGACAGAATGACTTCAAGAGTGTATCAGTTTGTAGTGGACGGAAGGCGGGGTAGGGGTCAGCCTAGGAAAGGTTGGAGGGAGGGGGTAAAGGAGGTTTTGTGTGCGAGGGGCTTGGACTTCCAGCAGGCATGCGTGAGAGTGTTTGATAGGAGTGAATGGAGACAAATGGTTTTTAATACTTGACGTGCTGTTGGAGTGTGAGCAAAGTAACATTTATGAAGGGGTTCAGGGAAACCGGCAGGCCGGACTTGAGTCCTGGAGATGGGAAGTACAGTGCCTGCACTCTGAAGGAGGGGTGTTAATGTTGCATTTTAAAAACTGTAGTGTAAAGCACCCTTCTGGCAAGACAGTGATGGAGTGAATGATGGTGAAAGTTTTTCTTTTTCGGGCCACCCTGCCTTGGTGGGAATCGGCCAGTGTAATAATAAGAAAAAAAATTTTTTTTTTTTTTTTCAAATAATTAAGAAATGCTTCAACCACAATAAAACAAATTCCTCAGAAATATCTTTCATTACCTTCAGTTGGGACAGCTTCGAAGGTGTCATCGAGGGTGAGCCTTGGAGGGTACTCCTCCAGACTTGGGAAGACATCAATGGTGGTGCTCAGAGGTCCTGACAGTCGCCGGGCTAGATCATCAGGATCCACCAGTGTTGATTCAACCAAGGGTGACTCTGGCACGGTGTTCTGAAGTGATAGTACTGAAGTAGTAGTAATAGTAACACTACTAGTGCTCAAGTAGTAGTAACAGTAACACTACTAGTGCCATCATTAGTATTGTATTCACCAAGAAGGGATGGAAATTAGTTGTGATCCAAGGGAAGAGTCATATCAAGTTTTTGAATCAAGAGCACTTCACATGCACCAAGGCCTTCCCTTAAAGGAAAAATTATAGTAGACAACATAATACCACCCTATCTGAAGAAAATTATCTCTGAGGTTTATGATGATTCTGGGAAAAGTTCAACATCAATAAGTATGTTAGGTAAGACACATATGCAACAGTTAGGTATCTTTATTATGAAATGTTTTGCCTACACAGTAGGCTTCTTCAGTCAAGTACAGAAAAGTTGATAGAAGCAGAAGATACTTGAAGACGATGTAATCAGTCCATCACCCTTAAAGTTTTGAGGTGGTCAGTCCCTCAGTCTGGGACCACCTCAAAACTTTAAGGGTGATGGACTGATTACATCGTCTTCAAGTATCTTCTGCTTCTATCAACTTTTCTGTACTTGACTGAAGAAGCCTACTGTGTAGGCGAAACGTTTCATAATAAAGATACCTAACTGTTGCATATGTGTCTTACCTAACAACCTGTCGGTATTTTATACCATTTTAATGTTCATCAATAAGTATATACACAGAATTTTTCAAACAAAATAAATCAACACAGTATACATTGTTCAAAGTAAAGAGGGTATTAATGAAACAATGGAAATACTTTACTATTAACTCTAACAATTAAAATAATGAATAGATCTAGAGAACCAATGTTGATTTTATTATTAATATAAAATTTTAAGTTTTAACTTCAAACATTTATTTCCCCCTGAGCTTCTTGAAACAAAAAGATTTTTTTGTAATACACTGGCTGTCTCCCACTGAGGCAGATGCTCCCCTATTATCATTTACTCCTTAGTTCAAAACTCACTAAAAACTTCCCAAAATATCTCTCAATCTCTCTTTCTCTACCAGCCTACTACCTGTACCTACAAAAAATAGATTCACTACAATGCAGTAATCAAAATGGTTCTCACCTGTGACACAGCACGAGCATTTCTTGAGTGTTCCTGAGCCTCAACAACAACATCCCCAGACACCGTTAATGACCCAGGAGAGACAACCTCAATGTGCCGAGCACGACGGAGAGATTCCGAGCTGGAGACATCATCCACATCAAGGGGACGAGCATGGTACACGTCCACATTTCGAAACAGGTCAACCTCGTAATGCACTTGACGGTCAGCGTGTGAGGTGGGGAATGTACGTCCTGGGCACGTAAGTACATATTTTCATTAAAGCTTTATTCCTATACAGGAGGGCCCTGCTTTACAGTGCTTCACTTTGCAATATTTTGCTTTACAGCAGTCTTCAATATACACATTCTTCATTTATTCAGGCTTCCTACAATAAATATATTCACCACTCACTATAAGCTAACTACAAAAGTATTTGAAGGTAAGTAATGTGTAATGTATATGCATTTTTTAGGCCTAGGGCACTTAATGTATGATAAAGTAAACATGTTGTCAGGTTTTTATGTGGATTTGAAAGTGAAAAAACTATGTATCACTTTACAGCGATTTTTGCTTTACATCAGTAGCCTGGAACCTAACCTGCTGTGTAAGTGGGGCCCTCCTGTATTCATAGGGAATTTGTGAATGAAAATACAATACCAACTAATATTTAAGAGTTTAGTGTTTCATCATACTGGACAATTCCTGGTATACTGTACTTGCATACGAATTTATCTTTAAATATTTCAGCCAACAATCCTGTACGTTCTAAAGGAAAAGTCCTATGCTGAAGCTTGTACGTTGGACTATGTGTGCCAGCAGTAACAGCCTGGTTGATCATGCCCTAATCCACCAGAAGGCCTGGTCATGGACTGAGTCATGGGGCGTTGACCCTCGGAACACCATCCAGTAAACAAGTGACAGAATGAAGATATTACCTGAGAAAGTCATGGAAGGTCTTGTGAAAATTGGAGAGTTGAGCACTCGTTGTAATTCCCTCTGGCATTCAGTGAGGCCAACTTCACAGTTTACTGGAGAGTTAAACTCATCGACAAACTGCACCGAGCAGCCGCCACAAGGATTGACTCTGCAGACAGCGTGGGGATGGGAGAAACACACCTGGTTTTCACACAGGCTCTTGTCACATACGTGGACTATCTGACCAGGCTCACAGACTGAAATTTGATTTTATTAATTAAGGTTTAGCAACAATAATAGACAGAAAGCTTTTTTTTTTTTTTTTTTCAAAAAAACTGATTGAATCCCACTGAGGCAGGGTCACCTAAAAAGAAAAACAAAAGTTTTTCTTTTTAAATTTAACAACGTATACAAGAGAAAGGGTTACTAGCTCCTTGCTCTCAGCATTTTAGTCACCTTTTATGACATACATGGCTTATAGAGGAAGAATTCTGTTCCACTTTCCCATAGAGAGAAAGCTATTTAGTATTACAGTTGAACCTCAAAAATCGAACTGCTCCCAACTCAACCAATTATGCAAGTGTATTTTTGTAAGTGCTTTTATAAGTGTATTTTTGAGGGTTTCAAATGGACTAATCTAATTTATATTATTCCTGATGGGAATAAATTCATTCGGTAACGGCACTTGGACAGCCTTCTGGACTGAAGAAAGTTCGATATTTGAGGTTCCACTGTATATAAATACTGTAGCTACATAAACACAAGAAATAAATTTTGCTCCTAGTGTCAAGAAAAATAAGGAAAATTATACTGTTCTTCCACATACTACTGCATCCTTCATTTGATCTTCATGTTCAGTGTATGTTTTTACCTCAAGTTAATGTTTATCCAAGACCAGAAAATATGTATGCTATATCCCTTTTACTCCTAAACAATGCTTCTACCCACACAACCGCCTGTCTTACCCAAGATATGAGTTTCAGTCTGCCCATATAAATATGTATCTGTCCTTACACTAAAGAGCCTGCTGCTTTTGAAAGGTATTAAATTATACACACTTTCAATGCAATTAAAAATATACACTTTTAGCTATGTAACGAAAATAAAAAAAAAATTGAAAAAAAAAAAAAAAAACAATAATAATAACAACAACAATACAAGAATAATAATAAATAATCACAACAACAATGATAATAAAATAATAATAATAATTTTTTAATAATTATTATTTTTATTATTTGGAAGTGGATGTGTCAGTAGCTAAGTCTATGAAAGACTACGCAGAAAACTTATTTGCCATCGCTACTTTGTTTAAGAAATCTTTATAAATCAGAACTTTGCCAATCATGCTTAAGATAGCAAGGGTTACCCCAATACACAAAGGAGGTGATCCAACTAATGCAAATAACAATTGCCAATATCCAACTTACCACTGTTATTAAAAATCTTTTAATAATGTTGGTAGAATTACCGACAAGTGAGTGTAAAACAAAAGCCTGTAAGTGTTTTACATGATGGTAGGATTGCTGATGTCTTTTGTCTGTCTCATAAATATGCAAGATTACAGGTATGTCTTGCTACTTCTACTTACACTTAGGTCACACTACACATACATGTACACATTTATTTATACACACTCATCTGAGTTTTCTTTGATTTTATCTTAATAGTTCTTGGTCTTATTACTTTTCCTTTTATATCCATGGGGAAGTGGAATAAGAATCTTTCCTCCGTAAGCCATGCGTGTTGTAGAAGTCAACTAAAATGCCGGGAACAATGGGCTAGTAACCCCTTTTCCTGTAAAGATTACTAAAAAGAATAAGAAGAAGAAAATTGTCAAAGTGGGAAGTCTGAATGTGCATGGATGTTGTGCAAATGATAAGAAAGAGATGATTGTGGATGTTATGAATGGGAAGAAGCTGGATGTCCTGGCTTTAAGTGAAACAAAGCTGAAGGGGGTGGGAGAGTTTCAATGGAGAGGAATAAATGGGATTAGGTCAGGGGTTTCAAATAGAGTTAGAGCTAAAGAAGGAGTAGCAATAATGTTGAAGGATAAGCTATGGCAGGAAAAGAGGGACTATAAATGTATTAATTCAAGATTATGTGGAATAAAATAAAGATTGGATGTGAAAAGTGGGTTATAGTAAGCGTGTATGCACCTGGAGAAGAAAGAAGTGTAGAGGAGAGAGAGAGATTTTGGGAATGTTGAGTGAATGCGTGGGAGTTTTGAATCAAGTGTGAGAGTAATGGTGGTTGGGGATTTCAATGCTAAAGTGGGTAAAAATGTTATAGAGGGAGTAGTAGGTAAATTTTGGGGTGCCAGGGGTAAATGTAAATGGGGAGCCTTTAATTGAGCTATGTGTAGAAAGAGATTTGGTAATAAGTAATGCATATTTTATGAAAAAGAGGATAAATAAATTACAAGGTATGATGTAGCACGTAATGAAAGTAGTTTATTAGATTATGTATTGGTGGATAAAAGGTTGATGGGTAGGCTCCAGGATGTACATGTTTATAGAGGGGCAACTGATATATCGGATCATTATTTAGTTGTAGCTACAGTTAGAGTAAGAGGTAGATGGGAAAAGAGGAAGGTGGCAACAACAAGTAAGAGGGAGGGTGAAAGTGTATAAACTAAGGGAGGAGGAAGTTTGGGTGAGATATAAGCGACTATTGGCAGAAAGGTGGGCTAGTGCAAAGATGAGTAGTGGGGGAGGGGGGGTTGAAGAGGGTTGGAATAGTTTTAAAAATGCAGTATTAGAATGTGGGGCAGAAGTTTGTGTTTATAGGAGGGTGGGGGCAGGAGGAAAGAGGAGTGATTGGTGGAATGATGAATTAAAGGGTGTGATAAAAGAGAAAAAGGTAGCTTATGAGAGGTTTTTACAAAGCAGAAGTGTTATAAGAAGAGCAGAGTATATGAAGAGTAAAAGAAAGGTAAAGAGAGTGGTGAGAGAGTGCAAAAGGAGAGCAGATGATAGAGTGGGAGAGGCACTGTCAAGAAATTTTAATGAAAATAAGAAAAAATTTTGGAGTGAGTTAAACAAGTTAAGAAAGCCTAGGGAAAGTATGGATTTGTCAGTTAAAAACAGTAGGGGAGTTAGTAGATGGGGAGATGGAGGTATTAGGTAGATGGTGAGAATATTTTGAGAAACTTTTAAATGTTAAGGAAGAAAGAGAGGCAGTAATTTCATGCACTGGTCAGGGAGGTATACCATCTTTTAGGAGTGAAGAAGAGCAGAATGTAAGTGTGGGGGAGGTACGTGAGGCATTACGTACAATGAAAGGGGGGTAAAGCAGCTGGAACTGATGGGATCATGACAGAAATGTTAAAAGCAAGGGGGGATATAGTGTTGGAGTGGTTGGTACTTTTGTTTAATAAATGTATGAAAGAGGGAAAGGTACCTAGGGATTGGCAGAGAGCATGTATAGTCCCTTTATATAAAGGGAAAGGGGACAAAAGAGACTTTAAAAATTATAGTTTACTGAGTATACCAGGAAAAGTGCACGGTAGAGGTTATAACTGAAAGAATTAGAGGTAAGACAGAATGTAGGATTGTGGATGAGCAAGGAGGTTTCAGAGTGGGTAGGGGATGTGTAGATCAAGTGTTTACATTGAAGCATATATGTGAACAGTATTTAGATAAAGGTAGGGAAGTTTCTATTGCATTTATGGATTTAGAAAAGGCACATGATAGAGTGGATAGAGGAGCAATGTGGCAGATGTTGCAAGTATATGGAATAGGGGGTAAGTTACTAAATGCTGTAAAGAGTTTTTATGAGGATAGTGAGGCTCAGGTTAGGGTGTGTAGAAGAGAGGGAGACTACTTCCCGGTAAAAGTAGGTCTTAGACAGGGATGTGTAATGTCACCATGGTTGTTTAATATATTTATAGATGGGGTTGTAAAGGAAGTAAATGCTAGGGTGTTTGGGAGAGGGGTGGGATTAAATTTTGGGGAATCAAATTCAAAATGGGAATTGACACAGTTACTTTTTGCTGATGATACTGTGCTTATGGGAGATTCTAAAGAAAAATTGCAAAGGTTAGTGGATGAGTTTGGGAATGTGTGTGTAAAGGTAGAAAGTTGAAAGTGAACATAGAAAAAGAGTAAGGTGATGAGGGTATCAAATGATTTAGATAAAGAAAAATTGGATATCAAATTGGGGAGGAGGATTATGGAAGAAGTGAATGTTTTCAGATACTTGGGAGTTGACGTGTCGGCGGATGGATTTATGAAGGATGAGGTTAATCATAGAATTGATGAGGGAAAAAAGGTGAGTGGTGCTTTGAGGTATATGTGGAGTCAAAAAACATTATCTATGGAGGCAAAGAAGGGAATGTATGAAAGTATAGTAGTACCAACACTCTTATATGGGTGTGAAGCTTGGGTGGTAAATGCAGCAGTGAGGAGATGGTTGGAGGCAGTGGAGATGTCCTGTTTAAGGGCAATGTGTGGTGTAAATATTATGCAGAAAATTCGGAGTGTGGAAATTAGGAAAAGGTGTGAAGTTAATAAAAGTATTAGTCAGAGGGCAGAAGAGGGGTTGTTGAGGTGGTTTGGTCATTTAGAGAGAACGGATCAAAGTAGAATGACCTGGAAAGCATATAAATCTATAGGGGAAGGAAGGCGGGGTAGGGGTCGTCCTCGAGAGGGTTGGAGAGAGGGGGTAAAGGAGGTTTTGTGGGCAAGGGGCTTGGACTTCCAGCAAGCGTGCGTGAGCGTGTTAGATAGGAGTGAATGGAGACGAATGGTACGTGGGACCTGACGATCTGTTGGAGTGTGAGCAGGGTAATATTTAGTGAAGGGATTCAGGGAAACCGGTTATTTTCATATAGTCAGACTTGAGTCCTGGAAATGGGAAGTACAGTGCCTGCACTTTAAAGGAGGGGTTTGGGATATTGGCAGTTTGGAGGGATATGTTGTGTATCTTTATATGTGTATGCTTCTAAACTGTTGTATTCTGAGCACCTCTGCAAAAACAGTGATAATGTGTAAGTGTGGTGAAAGTGTTAAATGATGATGAAAGTATTTTCTTTTTGGGGATTTTCTTTCTTTTTTGGGTCACCCTGCCTCGGTGGGAGACGGCCGACTTGTTGAAAAAAAAAAAAAAATGTTACTAATGGTAACGGTAATGGCTTGACTAATGGTAGTGGTAATGGCTTACAAAGCTCCTGAAGAGTGAAACGTTGCCACAATAAAATGTCACATTAGTTGCACATATGTCCTTTTACCTATTTAAAATCTTCAAAAAATTAATTTATATAGTGTGCCACAATATACTCAATCCCTTATGGTTTGGTTTCAGGCCCCCCAAAAAAAGTACAAATGATGCAATTATAAAAATTTTTGAATTGTTTTATGCATCTCTTGAAAATAATGAATATCTCTGGGCCTCTTCACAGACCTTCAGAAAGCTTTCGATACAGTGGACTACAACATCCTGCATCTTAAACTTATTTACAGTCTTATTACTTAAAGTTTTATCTTATTAGCAGACATCAATATGTCTTCATAAATGGCATAATCTCATCAACTTGGTCTGTTGACATAGGAGTGCCTCAATGCAGTGTTCTTGGACCTTTGCTCTTTCTCATATATATAATTATATCAATGATCTCCCCATGTACTTTGTCTTTTTGAACTTGTTCTGTTTGCAGAAGACACATTAGCCATCTACCACTCAAATCAAGCTTCTCTCAACAACACTGTCCATGAGGAGGCCCTAAAAAAATATCTGCATGGATGATTACCAATAAACTCACTCTTAATTTTGACTTTTGACTAGTTAATTACACAAGAAGTCTCACATAACAGGCTATGTCTAGTTCTCAAGTAGTATGTAAGCCTTATTAGTTTCCCAAAATGTACTGAAAAATTAGTAACTTTCTTTTGTGCCTACTATTGTACTCAAGCACCTACTTGTATTTTTTTAGTGTACCGGCCATCTCTCACCAAGGAAGGGTGAACTAAAGCAAAAAACAGAAGTTTTCCTTCTTTTAACACTTAGTAATTTATACAGAAGGGATTACTAGCCTTTTGCACCTGGCATTTTAGTCATCTCTTATGTAAGCATGGCTTACAGAGAAAGGATTCTTTCCATTTTCCCATGGAGAACCTACCCATGTGTCTACATGATCTATAAGGCTCAAAGAAATAAAACATTACCATTATCATTATTATTACTGCATGAAGGGAAAACAGGGAATGTACCAGAACAAAGTACAGTAGGAGCCTCGTATCCATGGGTCCTGTATTAGTGGTTTGTCTTGGTCTCAAAATAACCCATAATTTTGCTTAATAATGGCCTCAGAGCGCAAAAGTAGTGATGCTGGCAGGTCTTCAAAGCCTAAGAGAAGTCGTGAAGTGCTTCCCATCAGTAAAAAAGTGATAATTCCCCACTTATTATGCTTAATTTATTAATTAAACTTTATAATAAGTGTTTGTAAAATATAGTACCAACACTTTTATATGGATGTGAGGTATGGGCCTTGAATATTTTTTCAACATCATTAAACATTCTTTCAACACACAGGCAGTATCCCACCGAGGCGGGGTGGCCCAAAAGGAAAAATGAAAGCTTCTCCTTTTACATTTAGTAATATATACAGGAGAAGGGGGTTACTAGCCCCTTGCTCCCGGCATTTTAGTCACCTCTTACAACACACATGGCTTATGGAGGAAGAATTCTGTTCCACTTCCCCATGGAGATAAGAGGAAATAAACAAGAACAAGAACTAGTAAGAAAATAGAAGAAAACCCAGATGGGTGTGTACATATATATATATGCTTGTACATGTATGTGTAGTGTGACCTAAGTGTAAGAAGAAGTAGCAAGACATACCTGAAATCTTGCATGTTTATGAGACAGAAAAATGGACACCAGCAATCCTACCATCATGTAAAACAATTACAGGCTTTCGTTTTACACTCACTTGGCAGGACGGTAGTACCTCCCTGGATGGTTGCTGTCTACCAACCTACTACCTAGGATCATTAAACATACACACATCTAAAGTGTATATCCAGAAATGCTCAATTTGGACAAAAACACATACTCATATTGGTTGGAGTTGTTGGATCAAAGTTCATCCTCCTAGATGACCTGGCAGTGCCCTGGCACTGAGGGGCACCCCGTGTGAGGGAGCCTGGCACCTGGTCACCCTGGGGAGTCACACACCAACACACACCTAGCTCCTCCAGACACTGCTCTGGAAGCCAGGCTCCTCGACTCTTGTCACATTTTGGGATGAATGTTACCTGCAATGCCAAGTCATTAATAATAGTAACAAGTAAAAGACATACAATTGTAAATATACATATATTAATAAAATGTAAAAAGAAAAACTCTCACTTCTTTTTTGGATCACTCTACCTCAGTGGGTAGGTGTAACTACCTTCCTGCTATATATAAAGCAGCTGGAACTGATGGGATCATGACAGAAATGTTAAAAGCAGGGGGGGATATAGTGTTGGAGTGGTTGGTACTTTTGTTTAATAAATGTATGAAAGAGGGGAAGGTACCTAGGGATTGGCGGAGAGCATGTATAGTCCCTTTATATAAAGGGAAAGGGGACAAAAGAGACTGTAAAAATTATAGAGGAATAAGTTTACTGAGTATACCAGGAAAAGTGTACAGTAGGGTTATAAATGAAAGAATTAGAGGTAAGACAGAATGTAGGATTGCGGATGAGCAAGAGTTTCAGAGTGGGGGTAAGGGGATGTGTAGATCAAGTGTTTGTACATGAAGCATATATGTGAACAGTATTTAGATAAAGGTAGGGAAGTTCATTTATTGCATTTATGATTTAGAAAGGCAAATGCGATAGGAGTTGGAAGAGGAGCAATGTGCAGAGTTGCAAGTATAAGGAATAGGTGGTATGTTTACAAAATGCTGTAAACAGCTTTATGAGGTAGTGAGGCTCAAGTTAGTGTGTGTAAAGAGAGGGAGACTACTTAACGTAAAAGTAGGTCTAGACAGGATATGTAATGTCACCGGGTTGGTTAATTATTTTATATGATGGGGTTGTAAAGGAGTAAATGCTAGGGTGTTTGGGAGAGGGGTGGATTAAATTTTGGGGAATCAAATTCAAAATGAGGGAATTGCACAGTTTACTTTTTTGCTGATGATACTGTCTTATGGGGATTCTAAAAGAAAAAATTGCAAAAGGTTCGTGGATGAGTTAGGGAATGTGAGTAAAGGTAGAAAGTTGAAAGTGAACATAGAAAAGAGTAAGGTGATGAGGGTGTCAAATGATTTAGATAAAGACAAATTGATATCAAATTGGGGGAGGAGTATGAAAAGTGAATGTTTTCAGATACTTGGAGTTGACCTGTCTGCAGAATGGATTTATGAAGGATGAGGTTAATCATAGAACTGAATGAGGGGAAAAAAGGAGAGTGGTGCATTGCGGTAGATGTGGAGTCAAAAACGTGTTTAAAATCTATGAGGCAAAAAGGGAATGTATGAAAGTAATAGTAGTACCAACACCTTATATGGTGAGAAGCATGGGTGGTAAATGCAGCAGTGCGGAGACGGTTGGAGGCAGTGGAGATGTCCTGTTTAAAGGGCAAATGGTGGGTGTATATATTAATGCAGAAAATTCGCGGAGAGCGGAAATTAGGAAAAGTGTTGTATTTAATAGAAGTCATTTTAGTCAGAGGGCAGAAGAGGGGTTGTTGAGGTGGTCTGGTCATTTAGAGAGAATGGATCAAAGTAAATGCGACCTGGAAAGCATATAAATCTATATGTGAAGGAAGGCAGGGTAGGGGTCGTCCCTCGAAAGGGTTGGAGAGAGGGGTAAAGAGGGTTTGTGGGCAAGGGCTTGGACATCCAGCAAGAGCCGTGCGTGAGCGTGTTAGATAGGAGTGAATGGAGACGAATGGTACTTGGACTGACGAACTGTTGAGTGTGAGCAAGGTAATATTAGTGAAGGGATCAGGGAACCGTTATTTTCATATAGATGGACTTGAGTTCTGGAAATGGGAAGTACAATGCAGCACTCTAAAGAGGGGTTTTTGGGAAATTGGCAGTTTGGAGGGATATGTTGTGTATCTTTTATATGTGTCTGCTTTCTAAACTGTGTATACTGAGCACCTCTGGCACAAACAGTGCTAATGTGCGAGTGTGGTGAAAGTGTTGATGATTATGAAAGTACTTCCCTTTTGGGGATTTTCTTTCTTTTTTGGGTCCACCCTGCCTCGGTGGGAGACGTGCCGACATGTTGAAAAAAATATACAAATATATATATAATTATAAATATTAAAAATATATAAAATAACTATATATATCTATAAATATATATATATATATATATATATATAATATATATATATATATACAGTGGACCCCTGTTACGATTTTAATCCGTGCGAGATAAGGATAATTGTTTATGCGAAATAATCGTTATGCGAATGAATTCCCCCATAAGAAATAATGGAAATAATATTAATCCGTGCAAGACGCCCACAAGTATGAAAAAATTTTTTTTTACCACATGAAATGTTAATTTAATACACCACAAACTAAAAAGGGCATGCACAATTACAATGACACTTACTTATTATTGAAGATTGGTGATGATTGACGGGATGGAGCAGGGAGAGCAATTATCTTCTTACTGTTAGGGGGAATCCCCTAATCCCATAAGGTACTTTGAGTATGAAGTACCTTTTTCTGGGGTTACTTCCCTTCTTTTTTTTAAATGCCACTAAGGCCAGCTCAGAGTCACTAGGACTTCTATCGCACAAGATATCTGTCCAATGGCCTTACCTCTCGTTCCTTTATGACTTGCTTAAAGTGTTTCACACATTGTCATGTAATAACTCACCACACGGCTTACAATACTGTGCTGAGGTGAATTTTCATCCATGAAGGTTTGCACTTCAACCACTTATCACAGATTTCCTTTTTCTTTGTAGTAGGGGGCAACTTCTTCAATTTTCACCACTCCCCTCCTCTAACCATTTCCCAGTCTGGCCCTCTTCTCTTGAAGTTGATCTATCAGCTCATCAGTGGGTTTAAGTTCTTCAGTGACCTCCTCCACCAACTCTTCCACATCCTTCCCCACTAACCTCCAACCCCAAGGACTTTCCCAATGCCACAATGGAATTCCTCAACTGGCACAGATTCTCAGGGTTAGCCCTCAAACCCTTCAAAACCCTTTGTCCTACACCATTCTGGGCCACAGTTTCTTCCAAGCAGAGTTCAAGGTCCTCTTATCACTTCCTCCCAAGCCTTACCTATAAGTTTACACAATGGAGACAATTTACAGTATCTCTCCAAAACTCTTCTTAGAGTCAGTTGAGTTTTCTGAGGTCATTACAAAAGCACCTTCAAACAGAAGCTTTTGTGTACATTTCTGAAGTTGGAAATAACCTCTGTTCCATGGGCCTGCAGGGAGGAGTGGTAGTAGAGGCAAAAACTTCACCTTAAGAACTCATGTCCCCATAAAAGTCGCTCTGCTGGGCCACGTCTTAGATGGACCAGGGGCTGGTCCTAACCAAACCCAAGAGCACTTAAGTTCTAATTTCCTTTTCAGTTAGGTAATTTTTTCACATTGGGGGCAAATGCATGGTGTAACCAGTTTTATAAAAAAATTCCCTATGACCCATGCCTTACTGTTTGCCCCCCAGCACACACAAATTATCCATTGTAGGACATTCTTTTGCCTGAGACGCTTCTGGAAGTTTTTTCAGAGTGATTACACTAATAAAGGCTTCACTTTGCAATCACCAGTAGCATTGGCCCACATCAACAAAGTAAGCCTGTCTTTTCATAGGCTTATGGTCCCTGGAGTGCCTTTTCCTCCTGAGTATAATTAGTCCGGCTTCTTGGCATTTTCTTTCCCAGAAAGGCCTGTTTCATAACAATTAAACATTTGTTAGGTTTCAGTCCGTCAGTTATCTATGTACTCCTTAATTCCATCACAATATTTTTTCAGCCGCCTTTGTGGTCCGAAACTACTGGCAGCTCACCATGCCTTATCAAACTATTGGATGCCACTACGCTTCTTAAATCTCTCAACGCAACCTTTGCTGGCTAAACATACACTCACATCATCACTAGTTTTGCCAGGCATTTTTTTTAATTTAATCCTCATGCAACTTCCTAGCCTTTTTCACATATGATCGCTTGAGAGAAGCTATCTTCCTGCTAGCTGTTTTTTTCATTTATCCACCCCAATTAAGAGTCTCTCAACATCTTCCATCCACGTGCGAACTTTGTTTCGAAAAACACAGTTTGACCGCTTTGGCCAAGAACAGCTTGCCTTGATTGTCTTTCAGGTGCCCACAATATAGCGATGGTTTGTGAATGGGGGTTTCTTGTACAGCTTTGACTAGGTCGGCTATAACGCACTCCCACTTTCATGACTTATCAATTTATCTCTTTCGTCATTTTTCTATATAATTCTTGTACACCTTTGAGGTGTAGGGTTGGCACTTAGAAGCTTTCTTGGGCCCATGGTCACTTATTTTTCCCAGAAACAGCACCGAAAATACTGTAAGAATACAAATATTCCGAGTGAGTATGCCTTGGATGTTACCGCGGAGGCTGGCTGGTAAACTATGGGACGGCCGTCACATGTGGAGGCTGGCTGAGGGCACATTGGACGCGTCTCGGACGAAAATCGGTAAGCGGGTTTTTAATCGATAAAATGGCGCGGCAAAAAATTTTGCGATAAACGTAATCGGTATGCGGAAAAATCGCTATGTGATGCCAATCGTAATGCGGGGGTCCACTGTAAATAACTATATATATATAATATATATATATATATATATATATATAATCATATAGACATGTGGACCCCCGCATAACGATGGCATCACATAGCTATTAATTCGCATACCGATTACTTTAATCGCAAAATTTTTTGCCGCGCATACCGATTAAAAACCCGCTCACCGATTTCGTCCGAGACGCGTCCAATGTGCGCCCTCAGCCAGCCTCACATGTTGCCGCCCGTGCCATTGTTTTACCAGCCAGACCTCCGCGGTAACATCCAAGCATACATTCGGAATATTTCGTATTATTACAGTGGGTTTTCGGGGCTGTTTCTGGAAAATAAGTGACCATGGGCCCCAGAAAGCCTCTAGTGCCAACCGTACACCAATAAGGGTAAGAATTCCCATTGAAATGAAGAAAGAGGATCATTGATAAGTATGAAAGTGGAGTGCGTATCGCCGACCTAGTCAAGGTTGTACAAGAAACCCCATCAACCAACGCTACTATTGTGCACCAAAAAGACAATCAGGGG